ACAAATTCACACTTATTATTTTGGTCATAAAATAACTATTAACAAATAAGCTCTTAATTTCTCATTTATTCAGTTTTAGTATCTACTAGTTGTTAGCTGTTGACAAAGAAAAGCCAAAAAACGATATCGGCTACTACAGAAAAACCCATAAAGACAACATGTCGGTGGAGAAGGAAGAGCCCACAGATTCCAACTTATTATTTCCGTCATAAAAAACCATTACCAAATAAGCTCTTGATTTCTCATTTTCAGTTTTCAATATCGGCTAGCCGTAGACAATATCTGGCACCTCAATTGAGAGGTAAAAACCCAAAAAAGACAACATCTACTATCGATGAGGAAAGAGAGCTCACAGATTCCCACTCATTATTCCGGTCATACACAAATCATTAGCTCTTAATTTCTTATTTTCAATTTTCAATATCTCCCCGTTGAGAAAGAAAAGCAAAAAAAAGACAATATCCTCGAAAAAAGACAACATCTATTGGTGTAGAAGCAAAAGCCATAAAATAATCCTTTAATTTCTCATTTTCAATTTTCAATATGTGTCGAAGAAAAGGAAAACCCAAAAAAAATAATATCTGCAAGCTCAATTGACAAGTAAAAACCCAAAAGATAACCTATCAGTGAGGAAGGAGAGCCCACAATTCTCATCTATTATTCCGGTCATAAAAAAATCATTACCAAATAAGCTCTTAATTTCTTCTTTTTCAATTTTTATATGTCGACAGTTGACAAGAAAAATAAAAATAAAATAAAATAACCGATAAACAAGGAAAAATCCAAAATACACAATATCTCCACGAGAAGGAAGCGCCCACATATTCTTTCTTATTTTTTGGTCATTAAAAAAGAACTATTACCAAATAAGCTCTCAAATCTCGAGTTTGTTCAGTTTTGTTTTCAATATCTCCATTTAGCGCCCACAGATTTCCACTTACTTTTCGATCATTAAAAAAAAAACTATTACCAAATAAGATCTCAAATCTCCCGTTTTTCAGTTTTGTTTTCAAGATCAAGATAAAGAAAAAGTACAACAAATTTGAAATCTATTATAATTTTAAATACTACTTTTACTTATATGGTTCACATATTTGGTTACCAAACTTGTTAGTATACCATTCATAAAATATATTAAAAAATTATAACTAAAAAAAATAATTTTAAAATACGATAGTATTACGATATTATCCAAGATACGCATAAGTTTTCATAGTTTTGTTTTTTAATCGCATAAGTTTTCATAGTTTTGTTTTTTAATTTTTTTTTTTTAAAATAACTCGTACCAATAGAGATAATATCGGTTTCTTGTATCCATTTTCTTTTTAATTAATTAATAAAGGAATAACATATTAAAACACAAACAACGACAACTTTTATTAAGGAAAAAAAAGTACGATGACACTAAGAACCCCGACTCCAATACAAGTATAGAAACAAACACACATATAACATAGCATAACATAAGATAACAAACATAACATGACATAAACAACAACACATTGCACACACAACAACTTAATACTCAATAATACATAACTGACTTTAGTATATATGAACCTGAAGATTCCTAGAGGCTGGTTTGATGGTGTTGAGAACCTGAGCTTTCCGAGTGTAGATTTGAGTGTTTTCAAAGCCATCATCAGAATCAACAGCAACAAAGACGCCTCTTAATCGACGACCATAGTGAATAAGATAAGCCAAAAAGGTTATTTCATTTGGCGTCCCTGTGAATCCCCTGGCATCCACTATCTCCAGCGATTTTGATAAGCAAGTCATGATCGTCATATTGGTTTCCCAGAACCTAGTTACGTCCAATGCAAATGGTGGCTCATATTCCTACAACCAAATTTGAATTATGTAATAATTCCCAAATTGGTTAATTTCAAAAAGTGAAAACGGAGAAAGAAATTGCCAGCAAACAACCGAACTTATTTCCTTACAAACAAACTCTAGAATTTTGTGATGCGAAACAAAAAGAATATAAAACAAAAGAAGAAGAAAGAGAACTGACTTGCAAGACATTCCCCTCGCCAAGCATGAGCGTGAGGGTACTCAGATGAGGACAACTATTCAAGAGAAAAGCTATGCCATAAAACTCATTTGGATGAATGCTCGTACTGAATGTTAAATGTTGGACATTCAATGGTGCTTGCATTTGAATAGGCTCTTCTCCGTTTGGGATAACCTTCGTTGCAGATCCAATCCAATGTCAACAAACACACAATTATTTATAAAATTATAGCTTCGAGATTCAAAAGCATCTCTTCTAGTTCAAATAATAATAAAAGAAGAAAATATTAGCACAACTATTCAATCAGTCAGTCGCCACATAGTGTATAGTGCATGTATGATTGAACTAAAAATTTTAACAGGGAGTTTTCGGTTTTCTTGCATCCGATCCTGCTGCAGAAAGCTGAGTACACTAACACAATGTTAGAGAAATTTCTTCAATAGAAATCAGATAATTGAATCTTAAAAGGAAAAAAAATGGTTAGTAAACGATTATTAAGTAATTTAAACCATTATACCTGAAGCAGAGAACTACAAACACTCAAAACTTTGGCAGAATACAGACTATCGAGAAGAATATAAAGCAGGTTTGCAATTTCAGAATGATCATCTTCATCATCGATCTCAAAACTAAGATCAGCCTCTTCGAAACAGCGATTCACATCCATACGAAATGAACCTACGCCGCCAGAGTATCTGAAGTACGTCAAATTAGGCGCCTCGACCGAAATCCAATCATTAAGAAACTTGCACTGCTCAATCGCCAAACGCCTCAGTCTCAAATTATCTTTGTTTCCCCAAATTTCAAAATGCGTCGCGTTCCAACACCTCTTCAGATTTAAACTCTCCAACAGCGGGCATTTCTTCAGAAAATACCTAATCTCTCCGATTCCTACTTCAAGCCATCCTAAAGAGAGATGCCTCAGAGCATTCAAGTTCTCGAACTCCGCCGGGCGGAAACCGCACGCATAAAGCTTCAGAGAACGGAGATTCTCGTGACCGTAAACGATCGGAGGTAAATCGAACATACTTTCTGGTTGAACTCCGTCGTCATCGTCTTCGATCCATGCCGAGTTGGAGAAAACCAGTTCTAAGTCCTCGACGTTGCGATAAACAGCGAATCGAATGCATTCATCAACGAATCCGCCGTTGCCGTCTCCTCTCGGATTTGACAACGAGAGAGAGAACTTACGCACCGTCGGTTCTTGGTAGAGTCTGAGAAAATTCATACAGAACTCGATGAATCCTCTTCTCCTTGCATCTCTGGTTTGCTGATCGGTAGGCTCTCGTCCGACGAAGAAAACCTCCTCCAACTCGATATTTTTCGTCGCCTGCCAAATCCTCACCCAACGCTTGGACAAAATTGAAGTTCTAACGGCTTCCTTGAAAGGAAGAGAAGAGACAATCATCGATAACAGAACATCAGGCAACATGTCCAATCTGTCCACGCCCGCCATGGATGCCGATGAGAGAGAAACAAAAATAAACTTCGAACATGAACTCTGCTACTGCAAAAGGAGTGAAACGGTATTTATAGGATTTTGTCGAACGGGCGCCAGAAGACGACAGTTGAAATTTTTATTTTTTTTCTTTTTTAAAAATAAATAATTATAAAATGAATAATTAGATATTTTGTGGATAATTAAAAGCAAATGAAGCAATTAGAGAAAGTAAGCATTCTTATCTATCAAAATCAGGTTTTGCTAATATCTCTTCCTAAATTTGATTTTCTTGGAATTAAGACTATTAGATCCCATTTGTTTTAGTTTTATAATTATTCCGAAATTTTCTAGAAAAAAAAATTAGATTTTTTCCCACCGAACAAATGATTAGTTTAACGGTCTGGTCTATTTATTACATACGACACGAGAAAAATCGATATGGTAAACGAATCCCGATCTTAAACTAGAACTAGATTGGAATTAAAAGCCATGTTGCCTTTTTCCTTTTACGCGTTGTCGTATTCATTAATTCCAATATGATACCATGTCGGGTAATCCCGAGATTGGTTTAAATTTTGTCGTTATTCAAAGTAAAGCATCATCTACGCGGGTATTTACATGCCGAATCTTGTTACTACCATCTTAGACATGTCTTGTCGGCTAGTGCACTAATAGAATTTCCATATCAAAGATTCCGACAATATTGCCAATGTCTCAGAACATGTACCCAATAACGTTAATGTTTCGAATCATGCTCGGCTGCAATAACCTAATTTGAAACAACCAGTGTAATAAAATGAAGATCGACTACGTGTACCAATAGCATTGACGTCTCGAAGCATGTTCAGTTACAAGAGCTTAATTTGAAGCACCATCGACCATTAGTACTAACCGTATAGATGATCGGAAGTATGATTATCTCTGCACTAACCTAATTTAAAGTATAATTAAAATTAAGAATATTATTTAAATTTAAAAAAAAAAGTTGGTATTTTGAGATAATGGACAAATTTTATGGGTATTTATTTTTATTAATTTAACAAGCGGATAATTACAAAATTAGTTTGGTTTGGAATCAGTGCCAAAAAAATCATTTATATTTTTTAATATTTTATTCTAGTTAATTAACTCTAGCACAATGAATTAACACAAAGGACAAAAATTCCTAACTTATTACCATATAACAAACGTGTTAAGATGGCAATAACATTGACAATTTGAATTCCTATTTTACCCTTCAATTTAAATATATACCTATTAATTATAATTAAATAAAAATCACTTTATAATTAATTATTTCAAATTTTCAAACCATCTTAAAGTTTTACTGAAATAAATAGTCATTAATAGTTTGTAACAAATTTTCAAATTATCTTCAGGAATTTAAATATTTCAAAAATTCAATTAATTAAAATAAAAACTTTTATTATTATTTTTTTTTATCCCCAAGGAAAAATTCGAAAATTTTGTGGCGTTTTGTGAAAAAAGGAAAAGGAGAACCCCAGCTATAAAAGGCATCTTGTTCTCACCCGCCGCCCCTTATTTCTCACTTTTTGACTTTTCTCCCTCCCCTGTCTCGATCTTCTCGCGCTGCGGTAGCCATATGTTTCTCGGCCATCTCTCTCTTGCTCTGCCCTTCGTTCGTTGCTCGAGTTTGCTCGTTCTCGGGACCAGCTTTGAACGAACACGTTGCAAGTAAGATTTCTTTTATTGTCCTCTTTTTCTCTCTGCTTTATTCCCGGGTTGTTTTGTTACAACACACCATCAAATCGTGAACCATGCTACCGCGGTTTGTGGATAAAATCTCTAAGCATCACCACCTGTTTCGCGTGAGAGGAAGCAATTACCATCGCCAATCGCGATTTTCTTCTGTGCTTGTTGGTTTGACTGGTCCGATTTGAGTTTTATTTGTTATTTTCAGTTCGACCGATTTGATTTGGCTCTATTTTCTTCGGTTTTTGATTAATGTTGGTTTTAGGTATTGTTTTAGGGTTTGATCTTAGATTTCACAAATTAAGAAGAAATTAAAAACAGACTTAGCTATGGCGTAGCATATTTATTGAGGTAAGGAGTCGATTGAAACTTTTCTTATTCCATTGAATTGTTATAGTCTCATGTAGGACTTAAAGTATAAACATGTTTAACTATTATTCTACGTGAATAACATTTATGTAATTAAGGGATTATGTTGGAACTATTAGGTGGTTGTCAACTAACCTCTAATAATCAATTGTTTATTATAATTGGCCGACATATGTATGGTAGTTAGTTTTGGTACAAAATCACTTCCTTAATGTTTGTGATATTATCAGATACTATATTAAGATCACAAGGTCATCAATTTATATCTAGTAATGAGCGGTTTATTTTGATTGGGTCACATATGTATGATAGTTGGTTAGACAAGAGCTAGTTATTTGTACACCTAGACCCATTAAACTTAAAAATGTGACCTTAATTTTAAGATAAGTATGAGAAGAAGTTCATGGCTAACGAGTATTAAGTGAATGAACCAAACGAGTATCAAGTGAATGAAGCAACAAGTATTAAGTGATAAAAACCATAATTTTTAGGTAATTGAGGCATGCAAGTCGGGTTACTTTTCATTTTTTATACTTATTTCTGCTGCTCAATATTAAATGATGCCTAAATTTCTATGCATGATGAGGTGTTCAATATCTATAACAAGGCTATAGAGACAGCGATGGGCTTAAAGCCTTGTTACAGATCCTATAAGTTCTTTATTTCATGTTTTTTTTTTTTTTTCCTCTTCTTTGTTAATGTCTTACTTTAATTATTTTGTGAATATTTTGATGTGAAATAACCTATCCGTTGAAATTGCTATGAGAGCCTTAAGTTTTAGGTTATGTAGACTCAATGAAAACGTCTCATCACTCAAATGAAGAAAGTAGTATAGTTTACGTGGGTATGAGTTCTTATGGTAATAATGATTGCTTGGGGTCATTATTGTTATGATATTTCAACGTGTTGGCTTTCAGTAGGCAAGATTGTAGCATATTCCTAAGCCAAGTAGTGTATATTAGATGATGGCACCTCAAAGAAGAGGCACAACAACATGCAATAGGGTAGGGTGGAAGGAGATGGGTGACTCTGGCTCGAGCAGACCCTACCCAAAATTATTCGGTTGGAGAACCACCATTTAGGCTTGTGCCATAATTGCTAACACCTCTGACACAAACTACAGTGATTTTGACACTGGAGACTATACTCACTTTTTGAGTTAGCTGCAACCAATTAGTCAAGAATAATGGAAACATGATGACAGAGTAAGTTAAATATTTGTAAGACTTCAGGAATGTAACAACCTAAAATAATTATAATATGTATTTTGTATGTGTGCGTTGTGTGTTTGATAATAATAATAATAATAATAAAATAAAATAAATTAATTAACTTAACAAAAAAAAAAACAAAAACGAAGCAGCTGCGTCAAGCAGCTGCTGTAAAGGAGGATGAGGGGCGGCGGACGCGTAGGCTGGAGGCGTGGGATGGATGAGTGGATGATTAGGGGATGTGGAAGCGTATTAGAGCTTGATTAGGCTTTAAAAAGGGAAGAAAAACGAAGAATGGAGATGGAGAGAAACCCAGAAAACAGAGGAGGAAATTTTTGGAGAATTCGAGTTTTTGGTTGCTTAAAATTGGACATCAATCGAGGGTAAAGGAAGAGGGGTTGTTGCTGAGGAATCTTTTGAGGAAAGGATACGGCCCCGAGCTGAAGCGGACGGTAATTCGAAGGTAACGAAAAAAACCCATATCACCGAACCTTTAAATCTCGATATCTTGGTTCATACTGCATAATAAATTATGAAATAAGGCTTGTTAGAACCGTAGTTAGGAGATCTATAAAGTTGTAGAAGAAATCAGCAAGAAATTCGAGCTGTAGAGATGAAATTTTTGCTTCGGGACACAACGGGTATTAAGGAAAAAGATTGGAAAAAAA